GAATACAACGTACGGTCATTATAGCTGTATCTGGACTGAAAGATGCCTCAAATACAGCTATAATGACAGTACGTTGTATTCGGGGGAAGAAGGTAGCTTAGATCTAGCGAGGCGTAGACAGACTAATTGGTTGGGACTTGGGACCGTGTGCTTGTGTTTGCCCTGTGGCGTTCTGGCCCTCGATTTCGTATGCGGAGATGAGACTTGGTGTCAAGTCAAGAGTCGTTGGCTCTTGGCTGTTTGAACCGTTTCCCTCTATAGAGCATAGCAGTTACTCTATCAGCGAGGAGCACGTGACAGCGTGCAATTGACGTATCTCAGGACGCAACGCAAGTGGAAGGTACCCCTCTCCTGGGGTTAAGGATACCTCCCTCTCTCTCTCTCTCTCTCTCTCTCTCTCTCTCTCTCTCTCTCTCTCTCTCTCTCTCTCTCTCTCTCCCTCGTGTGCGCGCGCGCGCGCGTAGTCCCCCCCCCCCCTCTCTCTCTCTCTCTCTCTCTGGTAGGCCCCCCCCCTCCCTCTCTCTCCCTCCCTCTCTCTCTCACACTCATAACAATAAATGGAACAAAACTCTCTCTCTCTCTCTCTCTCTCTCTCTCTCTCTCTTTCTCTCTCTCTTGTGTTAGCTCCCAGTCTCATTGATTTGGCTACCTTAGGGCTGCGTTCCCCGCGCCCACGCGGTAGACAATACGTTTTCCTTTGCCCACACATGGCCGAGTGGCAAAAATGGAAAATGTGTGGAATCGGCGTGGCAATTATTTTACGGTCTTGATGATTGTTTTAAATTTTTCTGATATTTTTTTCTGGAAAGATCACGACCTAATCTACGGATTTTCAAATTTTCAGTTTTTTCTGCAAATTATTATGATCACAAAAAATCGTCAAAGTTGCCTCTTGCAAATTGTGGGACTGGACCTGCCGGTACCCCTTTTGTGTAGGGGCCTAGTGGAATGCACCAGACCCTGCCTCAACGCCTGGGCCTCAGGACATTAGCAAACGGGATTTATTTTGCCCCTTCGCTGTTCACATGCAAGGGAGGACCGGTCCTCCAACTTTTGCTACAGCACCTGTTCTATGCGCGATAGCTGTAGGTAGTCAGTAAGAACGCGGTGGACCAGTCCCCCAACAACTTTCACGCCCTTAGAACCCACTTGACACGGACGCAGAAGCCTACTATATATATTTAGCAGCCTTAGGGCTGTGAACACTGGTGCCGAAGCTTACTATGCGGCAGCGTTATGGGTGCGCAGAAAGGTAGTAGAATATAATTAGTTTTTGTTAGGCTACTACCGGTAGCAGCCACCGAGCTGCGGAGTCTGTAGCAAAAGGCTCGCAGGCTTTGGCCTGTAATGTAAGGGGGAGATGTATTGTTGAGGACTCCGGCCTCTAAAAGTCGAACTGTGATAGAGTTTGAATTTTGAGCAAAGGAAAAAGAAGAAAGAAAAAAGACGCCGGACCCTACCATATCGCAGCCCAGCCCTGAGGCTGCGAATGGAAAGACCGCCTTGACTGTCTTGGAGGTCACCTCGCCGGAAGATGGTTGCGTATTGCCATGCATCGTCCGCGGTCTTCCCGTAGTTTACCCCCCGCTAAGTCTGTCTGCTGGTCTGGTCTCTTCCTCCTCGCTGCTCGACGTCTGGTGTGAGAGGCGACAGCCGTCGGTACACGTCACACGACGCGGTTCGCTGCCATCTCACCCTCTTCTTCTCGTCGACGTTTGCATCCCCTCCCCCGCGTTGTGGTTCGTTTCCCCGCCCGCAGCGAGGGAGTTGGTGGTTCCGCCAGAATGGAGGAGGGCGGGCAAATGGATCCGAAGCTCGAATTTTCGCAGACTCTGTTCGCGTTGCGGCTGAGGCTTCGACGCTCCCCGGTTATGGAGAATGACGATGGGGTGATTGATGAGCTACGCCAGCAGGTGCTGGATGCCATCGATCGGGATCTGATGATCAGCGTCTATCAGTCCTGCTGTGAGGAGTTCGGCTGGAAACCCGATCCCAGTCATCTGTCGAGATACGGCGCTCGGATTGCGGAAGAAATCCAACGGCTCGACGATAAGATCAAGGATGCGGAAGACAACCTTGGGGAGAGCGAGGTGCGCGAGGCCTTCTTGGAGAAGGCGCTCTTCTTCGTCCGAATCGCAGACAAAGAGAAAGCTTTAGAAGCGTTGAAAGCCACGGAAGCGAAGACGGTGGCCATCGGGCAAAAGATCGATCTGATTTTTCATATCTTGCGAATCGGATTTTTCTGCGCCGACTTTGACCTAATCTCGAAGAATCTCGACAAAGCGAAGAGCTTATTTCACGGCGAAGGCGGTGATTGGGAGCGGAAGAACCGCCTGAAAGTGTACGAGGGTCTGTTTTTCATGGCGACGAGGAACTTCAAGAAGGCCGCCAATCTATTCCTTGATTCGATCTCCACTTTCACCTCCTATGAGCTCTTGCCTTACACGACCTTCATCTTCTACACTGTTTTGACCAGCATCGTCTCCTTGGACAGAGTGGCTCTCAAATCGAAGGTTGTGGATGCCCCTGAGATCTTGGCAGTTATCAGAGATGTCCCCCACCTTTCCGATTTCTTGAACGCCCTTTACAACTGCGATTACAGGACGTTCTTTGTGGCGTTTGCGGCGCTGGCCGAGGCCATCCGCAAGGATCGATACCTGAATCCGCATTTTAGGTTTTATTTGAGGGAAGCGCGCGTAGTGGCGTACGCGCAGTTCTTGGAATCCTACAAGAGTGTGACCATGGAGGCAATGGCCAAAGCTTTTGGCGTCAGTGTTGAGTTCTTTGATGCGGAATTGGCGCGCTTTATCGCTTCAGGACGCGTCAATTGCAAGATAGACAAGGTGGCGGGTATAATTAGTGAAACCAATAGGCCGGATGCCAAGAATGCCCTCTATCATGCAACGATTAAACAAGGCGATGTTCTGCTCAACCGTCTGCAGAGGCTGTCGCGGGTCATCGATATGTGAGGCTTCCTTCTGGTAAGAAGCCCGGGGTAATTAAGGTGGGGGGGGGGGGGGGGAANGGAAAGAGAGGGGGGAGGAGGAGGGAGATGGATTACGGAGAGGCGAGGGGGAAGGTAGGAGTTTAGAGGGAAAGCGGGAGGTGCGGAGGTGGAGAGAGTTTATTAGGGGTAGCGGAAACGATGGGGGGTTGCGCAGACTAGCGCAATCGGATAAGCTGAGGAGGTCGGAGTTGAGGGGAAGGGGGAAAGGGGGGAAGGGGGGAAGCGGAAGCGGAAGCCGAGGAGATGGCGGGTGCAACAGACTACCGTCTTCCCTCGAATAGAACGTACTACGCTTATTATCCTTGTGTTTGGGGCAACTTTCAGTCTATCTAGATACAGCGATTAATGTACATACGCACGTTCCATTCGGGGGAAGACGGAAGCGGATATCAGTGAAGGCGAGGAGAGAGAGGAGCTGATTGAAGGATGGATGAGGCGGAAGGGATGGGTGTGCGGGGTTCATCGGAACGGAGCAAGCAATGTTGTGCTAAACCATCTCCAGAGGTTTTCGCAGGTCATCAATATGAGATCTGTGTAAGGAGAGAGAGAGAGAGAGAGAGAGAGAGAGAGAGAGAGAGAGAGAGAGAGAGAGAGAGAGAGAGAGAGAGAGAGACGGGTAGGCGAGGAGGGCTTGAGAGTTGAGCGGGAGTGGAAGGTATGGCTGCGCAGACTGAACGAAGGTAAGTTCGGCTTTACCGTTTCCGGAGGCGGCGGCTGTCTAATCTGTCATCGATATATGATCCAGGTAAGAAGAGAGGGGAAATCGGGGGAAGAGCGGGGAAATCGGGGGAAGAGCGGTGAAATGAGGGGAAGAGCGGTGAAATGGGGGGAAGAGCGGGGAAATGGGGGGAAAAGCGGGGAAATGAGGAGAAGAGCGGAGAGGCGAGGAGGTGGGAGTTAAAACAGGAAGTGGAGGGGGGATGGGCGCGCAGACTAACGGAGACGTCGAAACGAAATGAACTCGAGGGGAATAAGGTTGCCATCTTGGGTGTTTGGGAGAAACTGATGTCTTCTATGGTCGGATTGTGGCATGACTATGAAGGTACTGCCACCATCGACTTGCAACTTGAGTAAGGAGGGGAGCTCATTTTGCGACTGCAAAGCGGAGGGTTGGGGACTGGTTAGGGAGAGACGTCACTGATGATCACACAGCTTAGTCAGCCACACCCCACGCTGTACTTCGACTGTGGGTCAAGTGTGTTGTGTGTGTGTGTGTGTGTGTGTGTGTGTGTGTGTGAGAGTGTGTGTGAGAGAGAGAGAGAGAGAGAGAGAGAGAGAGAGAGAGAGAGAGAGAGGACATTGCGTTGTAGTGTATGTGGGCATGGTTGTGTGAGCCTGCATGAGTTTGAGAGATTGTACGTACGCGAGTGTGGTTAAAGAAAGGTAGTTTGATTCATTTGTCGGAAAAATTGAGCTGTGAAGTTATGATCGATCGACCATTTGATGGATGATAGATAAAGTCAAGGTGGGAGGAAAAGACTGGAGCAAATCAATGAATCGTAGGGAAAAGCCGGACTTGCTATCACATCCAAGTCGTTAAGAAAAGCGCGCTAAAACGCTGGACTTGAAAAAAAACAAACAAACGCCAGACTGCTATTATACAGATGGAGCCAGTAATCAAACAAGTCGTCGTTGCCAGAAGCCAAAAGAAGGAGGTTTCTCTTTCTAATTCCTCGTTCGCTGTTTAGCAGAGTGTGGTGATGATTAAGCAGGGAGGCAAAAAAGGAAGAAAAGAACAGGCTTGGAATGAACCCAAAAAGTCGTATTGAGTTCTTTTTTTTTTTTTTTTAAATATTTAATGAGGGCAGTTCTAACCTGATTGCCAATGGCCACCCGTTTGAGTGTTGTTTTTGCGAGAGAATGAAGCGTCAATCAATCTCATGAAGTTGATCAGGCAATCAATTGAAATCAACCAGTTCTTTCAATCAAATCAACCAGTTCTTTCAATCGAATCAACCAGTTCTTTCAATCAAATCCACCAGTTCTTTGAATCAAATCAACCAAATAAGCCAAGTCAGTGTAATTAATTAAATCAATCAAAGCAATCAGATCGACGCAATCCAATCCAACCCATCGAAATATCAATCAATCAAATCATTTCAAGCAATTAAATGAATGAATCACAATATCAATCAATCAATCAATGGTGCAATTGTTCATGGCAATGGGGCAAGCATTCAACCAGTCGTCTAGCAGTCAATCAAGCAAGCAAGCAAGCAGTCAATCAATCAACCAGTCAGTCAATCAATCAATCAATCGATCAAGCAGTCAATCCATCGATCAAGCAGTCAATCAATCGATCAAGCAGTCAATCAATCGATCAACAATCAAGCAGTCAATCAATCAATCAACAATCAATCAACAATCAAGCAGTGAATCAATCAATCAACAATCAAGCAGTCAATCAATCAATCAACAATCAATCAACAATCAATCAACAATCAAGCGGACAATCAATCAATCAATCAATCAACAATCAACCGGACAATCAATCAAGCAGGGCAAGCAGGCAATCAATCAATCAAGAAGGGGGGAACGAAAGGAACAAAAGGAAGAAGAAAGGGGAAAAAAAGGGGATAAAAAAAGGAAGAAGAAAGGGAAAAAAAGGGAAAAAAGGGAAAAAAGGGGAAAAAAAGGAAGAAAAAAAAGCTTAAAAAAAGGGAAAAAAAGTAAGACGAAAGGGGGCAAAAAAGAGGATTGAATGGGATATTATCCTGCTCGGCGCTGCTTCCTGCGACCACTGCCCGGTCAAGTATTTGCCGACAAGAAATGGTTCGAGGGGTGATTGTCCTGAGCTGTAGACACCGAGGTAGGACCGACTGAGGGGAGGGGTGCAACCAAGGAGTATCGACGCAAGAGGAGAAGGAGAGGGGGGGGGGGGGGGGGGGGGGGGGGGGGGGGGGGGGGGGGGGGGGGGGGGGGGGGGGGGGGGGGGGGGGGGGGTATACTCGCTTGGAGACTAGAAAGGGTTGTCCTGAGCTATAGACACTTGAGGTAGGAAACGACTGAGGGGATACTCACAGTAGGCCCTGAAAATCGGAAGATCGGAAGATCGGAAAATCAGCGGCCAGATTAAGTCCTTGTAAAATGTACGACTCGATCTGGCGCCGGTGATTTATGATTTTGTGATTTTGGGGGCCTAGTGGGAGGATACTCTCGGTGGCGGTGCACCACAGAGATCGAAACAAGGGGGTATATACTCCAATGGACTCTATCAGAGTCGACCTACGTTCGAAAACGTGATCTGCTTTGGGAAATATTGCTATGTCTTCACGTCTGCCTGTGAGCATCCACCTCCACACATAGCATCATTTGCGATCATGGCCATATATAGATCAGTCACCGTCTTGGCCATAGATTAGTTATGATCATGGCCATAGATTAGATTAGTTATGATCATGGCCATAGATTAGATTAGTCACGATCATGGCCATAGATTAGTTATGATCATGGCCATAGATTAGTTAAGATCATGGCCGTAGATTAGTTATGATCATGGCCATGTTAGTCACGATCATGGCCATAGATTGGTGTTATAATCATGGCCATAGATTAGTTATGATGATGGCCGTTGGCCATGGTATATTGGGATATGTCTGGGCAGGTCAGCTCGAGTCGAAAGATCAAGGTGGTCAGTAGCTATTATGATTGGGACATGGGCAATCTCTGTGAGGGTTGCCGCCATATCGTTGTCGTTGCTCATCAGCTGCTTTATTATCGAACTGTCCTGTTTTTTTTTTTTTTTTTTTCAATGAAGTGAGAGATTGAGAATGATTTCGTTCATCTAGTTCCATCATCTGGATTCGAACTTCCGTCTTCATCCGAATATAACGGCCAGTCATTATAGCCGTATTTGGGGCCATTTTCTGTCCAGAAGCAGCGATAATGACTGGGCGTTCTATTCGAGTGAAGACGGAGTCTGTGTATTTCAACAGTTCATGGGTGTGTACCAACTGAGCTACTAGGCTCGTCTCAGTTGGTTATCATCATCTATCTAACTTTGTTCCTAGCTTCTTCCCCCGAATACAACGTACGGTCATTATAGCTGTATCTGGACTGAAAGATGCCTCAAATACAGCTATAATGACAGTACGTTGTATTCGGGGGAAGAAGGTAGCTTAGATCTAGCGAGGCGTAGACAGACTAATTGGTTGGGACTTGGGACCGTGTGCTTGTGTTTGCCCTGTGGCGTTCTGGCCCTCGATTTCGTATGCGGAGATGAGACTTGGTGTCAAGTCAAGAGTCGTTGGCTCTTGGCTGTTTGAACCGTTTCCCTCTATAGAGCATAGCAGTTACTCTATCAGCGAGGAGCACGTGACAGCGTGCAATTGACGTATCTCAGGACGCAACGCAAGTGGAAGGTACCCCTCTCCTGGGGTTAAGGATACCTCCCTCTCTCTCTCTCTCTCTCTCTCTCTCTCTCTCTCTCTCTCTCTCTCTCTCTCTCTCTCTCTCTCTCTCCAGCAAATAGCCACTGGCCGTCTTCCCCAGAAAAGGGGGGTTGCAGGACATGTCTACCTCACGGTGCCTCTTTCTTCTGTCTCCATGCTCCAGCGGCAGCTTTTTCTTTTTGTGGTTGTTTGTGATGGGGGTTGAAAAGGCTTTGCTGGACCCCTTTCCCCGAACACAACGCACCCGCATAAAGAATGTATACAAGCTATTCTTCCGGTCCTGTGCACAGCTATAATGAGGGTGCGTTGTGTTTGGGGGAAGACGGTAGTGTATACGTGGTGATACTGTGCAGAATGACCACCGGCAAGTCTAATAGGCCTGCTTGATGCTGGTGGGGGAAGAGTTAGGCTCGTTATACAGGTTGTATAGGTAGTGACCTGTTCATAGGTATGATGGGCGGCTGCATATATGCCTGCGAGCATGGGGCTGTACCTGTTTAGAATCTTGCTGTCACGGTAGGGCTGGAGTTGTGGTTGGCTGGGTCGGTGGGGACTGTAAGGGGAAAATTGGTAAGATGTCCCTGCAGGTTTTGGTATTTCGTCGGAGATGCCCCTGAAACAGAGGCATTGCCGAGTGTCGTTGGGGTAGGCGTGTAAAATTTTGTGCGGAATACCTACCCCACTCGACCATTGGACCCGGCATCTCTTACACATGCCCCCCTGCAAGTTCGGGTATTTCGTTACATGCCCTGGAAACACAGAGGCATCGTGTAATGTCCTCCTCCGGATATGCCTCGAAGTTTGCGAAATACCCCCCTCGAGTCCATTGCACCCGGCATCTTTCATATATGCCCCTATCTCGGCCTACTCATCGGACCTGGGCGATGCTGCATCAATCACAGGTGAACGGGTGGCGATATCCGGAGGAGGAGGACATTACGCGATGCATCTGTGTTTCCAGGGCATCTGACGAAGTACCCAAACTTGCAGGGGGGCATGTGTAAAAGATGCCGGATCCAATGGTCGGCAACAACATTCCCGGCGTGAAAATGGTGGTGAGGAACTCCGCACGTGCGCGCCAAATCAGCCAGCCTTTAAAATTAGAATTGGACAGGTGTGGCGCAGACAGAAAAGATGTCTGCCCTGTAGAGGGGCAAATGGTGGCGACCTTAACACGCGCCAAATAGGCCAGCCTTCGAAACTGGAATTCGACAGGCTCAAATTTGGCTGTGGGGCAGACAGAAAAGATGTCTGGCCGGTAGAAGGGCAAAAGTTGAAGGAAGTGCACCGGGGCCTGGGCGTAACACGAAGTTGCAAATGGCCGGGATACAAGCATTACTCATTAGTCCTCTGTCTTAAGGCGGTCTGCTATTCAGGGGCATTTGACGAAATTTCCCTAATAATCATAATTAATTGTAATATAAAATGATCCCTTGAAGAAAGAATTTGGTTATCTAGTGACGGAGGAAACAAAACAAATAAAAGCGGAATGGTTTTCGAGAGAGACCCGGTGCGACTTCAAAGCCTGAATGGTGCCTACTTGGAGCTGTCACGGTTAATGACCAGGGGCTAGGTCCCACTAGCACGAAGTAAGAGATACTGACCTTAGATAGCAGAGATCAACGGCAGAGATCTCCTAATTTGCGCAAGTGGGACCTTGCCCCAGGTCGTCAGGACTCGAACTGGAATCCTGAACCATCAAAGACGATTGACCTCAGTGATAACGACAGGCTTGTGCATGGGAAGTGATATTTCTTTTCTCTTCTTTTCTCTTTTCTTTCTTCTTTTCCAGTAGTTCCAAGTCCTTGAGGATCCAGGAGCCCCTCCCCACCTCTTTCTACCCTGCCCAGATTAGTGTGCTGTGGTAATGCGACTGTTAGCCTCCGCGTGTTTTGCAAATGTGGCTGCGACATCGACCAGAAATAGAGAACATGGATGGACAGGGGGAACAGGTCACGAGTTCAATTCCTCGATGGGCCGGGAGCCCCTCCTCACCTCTGTCTACCCCTGCCCAAATTTGTGAGCTGCGGTGTTGCCACTGCTGGCCGCCGAGCGTATTGCAAATGTGGATGGGATTTTGATTAACAATAGGAAACATGGATGGATGGGGTTTCGCTACA